CTAAAAGAGCTCCCTCAAACTCCTACCACTGGGTCGACACGTGAATTTGAAATACCATTAGAGCTTGAGTTGGCTCAGCTTCTTATTGGGGGCAGCACGTCCCTCCTCCCGTAAAAAGCTATTAGCTTCACCTGTTGATACTCCACCCTCCTTCCTGCTATCTTACAGCCAATATTGGTGCTATCCCTCCCAGTCCAGAGCAAACACATTCAAACTCATTCCCTCATTGGCTCTCTCTCGTGCCCCCCTAGTCCATGGGCATATACATTTTTTTATTGTTTTCTCCTGTATTAAAAAATAAAACAAAACAAAAACAAAGCAAAACAACTTCCTCCCTTCAGTGTAGAGATGGTGAGCCTGGAATATATTTAATTTCAAATCAGAGAAGACAACAAGAGCAGGACCCAGCAGAAGGAATGGAGTGCAATGCCAGGTGGTCTGACAAGGAAATGATAGAAGGATGAAAAGTGGGGGGAAAGGAGGGAGAGAAGGCATTCTGTAGAATAAGCTTTCTGACTGGTCATCTCTAATGCCTGATTGTCAAAGAGTTGTTTGTGGAAGTGTAGGCATGTTTACTGCTGCTAAGGGAGACACTTCATGTTGGTATCATATCAAACTGGAGGACGAAGAACATGGAAGGGGAAGAAAGCGAGTCCAAGGAATATTGTCTGGAGACAGTAACTGCTGTCTAAAGGAAGTGACACATGTAGAGAAGTGTATCAGGCAGCCATCAGAACAAAGGGCCAACCTGCCTAAATATGTCAACAGTAAAACAGAAGCAACAAATGCAAATAAGATAGTGCAAGCCACATACATGCATGTAACACACAGTGTAACATACCAGACCCCCAAATAAAAGTCCACAGAATTCACATTAATCGAAGTCAATGCATTTTAATTCTCTTATGAAAAGCAAAAAGACATTGTCCAATTAAAACACAAAACTCAATTCTATGTTGAATGTAAGAGATCTACTATTTGAGAAAAGTGAAAAATAAAAAGGGGGGGGCCAATATATACACCAAAAGGATGTCTCCTCTTTATGCTCATGGAGTCACAGAGCAGTGGGTTAACACACGACAGTTCTCATGGTTCACACTTACACAGCTGGAGGCGTTTACAGCACTAGTGTGAGTGTATTCAAACACGCAAACGAGACCTTTTTATATAATGAGACATAGAAATGATAATAGTGAGTGAAAGGAGAACATAGGAGCATCTGAGAGGAAAGAGCCAAGGTTGGGTACTTAGTGATTACCACGAGACAAGTTATTTCCAGTGACGATGTCCTTGTTCTGCTGCTGAAATCGCGTGTGATCCTGGGAAAGTCATGGCTGATTCTCACAGAGCTGCTGGCAGCTGTGATGTTGCTGTGGCCACAGGGGAAAACATCAGACTTAGCTTTAGCTGTCACATCCTTGATGGTCATATTTTGCTTGTTAGGGAGGCTGTGATACTGCAATTGTATTTTGGATACTTTGTCTGATTCCAGACTAATACTCTCTCCAGAATGTGAGTGAGACATACACCTCGAACCATGTGGAATGACCCGTTGGTAGAGATCCGGGATTGGGTTTCTCTGCAGTGACTGTGGCATCCTGAGCAGGCTGGGACACCTGCCTGTTACCTTTCTATTCCTCTGGCTGGGACAGGGGTAGGCTTAATGTGAGGAAGCCTACAATTTATTTATTTTTTTTAGGTTTGATTTATTATTATTTTTGTAGGTTTAATTTACCTTGTGGCTCTTTTACTAAAATAAAATCAATACTGCACAACTGTACTAACTACATTTGCAATATTTTCCCCCACAGGTATATGAGGCTCTTGCTTCATCTCAGATTGTCTTCAGGGTCACCTGAAGGTTCTCCTAGTAGTGTTTAGGGACACCTCCCCAAGTTGTTAATGGGGCTGCGTGAGTGTAAGGTAGAATCAGGCGATGGAAACCAGGTGAGAGCATTGGGTTACTCCAGAAACACAATGTAATGTATGCCTAGGCCCTAGGACCGTGGTTGGCAAACTGCGGCTCGAGAGCCACATGTGGCTCTTTGGCCCCTTGAATGTGGCTCTTTCACAAAACACCACATGCGGGCACGCACATACAGTGCGATTGAAACTTCATGCCCATGTGCAAAAGTTGGTTTTTGGCTCTCAAAAGAAATTTCAATCGTTGTACTGTTGCTATTTGGCTTTGTTGACTAATGAGTTTGCCAACCACTGACCTAGGGGAAACTGTTCTGAGTATCAATGCTTTAAGCTTTGTAAGACTGATCCTATACCAAGATTATAATTACGCAATTTGCATAAAATTTGGTACAAAAATAGTTGAAATGTGTGTGTATTGCTTTTAATATTGTTTGTTATGCTAATTTAAGTATTAACTAGAAACAGAAGAACAAAACAAAATGTTTATATTGCATGGAGAACCACATAATAAACACCTGAGTCTCCAGCCATCCAATTTAAGAGCTCCGTCTTCATGATTGATTTTGAAGCCACCTGTGTGGGCTTCGTGCTTACATCTCCTTCTTTTACCTTCCCAGCCATGAGCGTTGAGTTCCGTGTGTTCTATTATCATTTTGCTATTTTTGCTTTTTATCTTTAAATATTTTCATACAGTAATTTTGCTCATTTGGCAGGTTTTTAAATGTTATACAAAATAGAATTCACCATGTCTTTTGTAATTTTCTTTTTATTTTTTAATACATTTGACTGATTTTTAGAGAGAGAGGGAGGGAGAGAGAAACATCCATTGGTTGCCTCCTGCACACCCCTTACTGGGGATCGAGCCTGCACCCTGGGCATGTGCCCTCACCAGAAATCGGACCTGAAGCCTTCAGATGTACGGGTCAACATTCAATTCAGCCACCCTAGCCAAGGTGTGATTTCCTTTTTAAAATAAAAATATTTTCCTGAAATCCTTTTGTTGTGTTTACTTTATTCATATTTCTATGATGTTGCATCTCATACGCAGTATACATTATACATCAGTGACTTTGATTACCATCTCATTGTTTCAGATTGATCTACACTCAACATTGCTAATACAAAAATTCTGCTGCATTTTTATAGGGCACATCAAGTCTTCCTCTATGGTTGTACTCATTTTCTTTTTCTGCCATCACAATTTACCACAAACTTAGTGGCTTGACAGAACACAGATTTATAATCTTAGAGATTTGGGGGCTGGAAGTCTGGTATGGCTTCTACTGGGCTGAAATCATGGTATTGGTAGGTCGTGTTTCTTTCAGAGGCTCTGGGTGAATCTGCCTCCTGCTCATTTGGGGCATTGGCAGTATTCAGTTCTTTGAGGCTTTAAGACTGATTGTAAGCTGAGGGTTGTTCCCAGCTTAGAGTCCAGTCACTTCCCCTGACCTGTGACTCCCCCCTCGAACTGGGAAGCCAGCGATGGCAGACCAACTCTTCCTCATGCTGCCTTCTCTCCGATCCTCTGCACCTGGGGTTGGATTGGGCCCACCGAGATAATTCAGGATGATTTCTCCATCTCAAGGTCTTGCATCATAATCCCATCCCCATTTAAGGTAACATGTTCACAGGTTCTGGGAATCAAGGTGGGGGCATCTTTTGAGAGCCAGGCCACTTTGGAATCAGATAGAGTTAGCCCCATCCCATCGCTGCTGCTGCTGGACCACTGCTCTGGACACAACTTTGCATGTGGGGAGGGGTGGAGCAGAGGCCATGCTCCGGGAGGCTCAGTGGCTCTGATGCAACCTGAGCCCAGGAAAGGAATCAGAATTTAAATATGGGGAAGAGGCATTGGCTGGGAAGGAAGGGGGTGAGGGCCAGGGCTGGGACAAGGCAGTTATGGAGACGGTGTCTCCTCGGCTTAGCTCCTGCTCCTTATTGTTTGCTCGTCTCGCTCTTACATCCGGGGTTCAGATCCTCTGCTTTGACTGCGGGGTCTGTACTTGTGCCCACAGCAGGGCGACTGAGCCCCCTTCCCTCAGCCTGGATCTGCAGCTCCCACCAGATCTGGAGCCGTGTGCAACTCTTTCACCACCACCCCTGCTGGTCCCGCTGTGCTTGTGAAACTGCATCTCAGTTTGTTAGGACTCCCTCCCTCACCCCACTAGAATAGGAATCTAGGTTGGCATCTATTCACACACGAGTCCTACCAGGGTTGTAAAAGAAGGAAGAGTATTGTGTGGTGGTCTTGAAGACCCATTGTCCCTGAGCCTAGTCCCCCAGCCACACCAGATGGGTTCTCCTCCCTCAGTTGGACAAGAGTCTCCCACACAGAAATCCAAACAGGGATGTGGCATTCTCCTTCTCCCCTCTCCCCCGCCCCACTGTCATTTCCCAAGTCCACATCTTTAACAGGCTTGCCACCATTACTCTTTTGTCACCCCCTTGTTCCAGCCTCACCCCTCCACCTCCCTCCACATTCGATCATCCCATTGAGACTAAAGGATGCTTCCCTGTAAGGAGGCACAGAGGCAGACAGCCTGTCACCCGGGGCCAAGCCTTTTGGTCTAGGGTCAGCCCACCCACACAGGAAACCCTGGAGGAGCTGAGAATGGCAGAGCCCCATTGTCTGACTGCTTCCGGGAGGCCCCTCGTTCACTCTGGCCTTGGGAGTAGAAGTGATGATGGGAGGGGTCCCCAGGGATCAGAGAGCTGAGTGCTGCCAGGAGCAGGCGGAAGGAGATCCATATCCATCTGGAAGCAGGGACTGAGCCTGGCCTGTGAATCCATAGCGCCCTGACCTCCCACATTCCCTTCCTCTTGGGTCCTCTCCCCAAGGAGCAACGCAGATCGAGTACAGAGACAAAGACATTTTCATGCACAACTATCTTTATTCATAACTGGAATACAATGTCCCAAAGATGCTGTTCCTACCCCCAGCCCCCCAAGCCCACCCTCACCCTAACAGCCCTGCCCTCCCTCCCTGCCTCCCACCCTCCCACATCTCTATAACAGCCAGAATTATCTTTGGGATGAAAAGGAGCCCTGGGCTTTTCTGGGGCACAGCCACATCACATTTACTGTGGGCCACCAGACTGGGGGCTGGAGGGGCCCCCCACTGCTCCACGCTGGCTGTTGTACCTCTTCCTCTTCCTTCCCCTCCCTGCGACAGACTGCTCACACTTTCTCTTTGGAGGCCGGGACTGGGCAGCTTTCCGGGCCCCTCGACCTCTAGGGCAGGCAAGGTCGGAGGCTGGGGCAGGACTCAGAGAGAGAGCGCTGGGCGACAGGCTCTTAAGAGAGGCCACGGCAAAGACCTGGTCGGGGAGGTGCCCCTCCTTCTCACTGGACTTGCCCACTGGCCTGCGGCGGCGGCGCCCCCTGACAGGAGAGGCCTGCCTGGGAATGGCAGCATCCCTGGGGCCCAGGCCAGAATCGGTGTGCTCCAGACCCTGGGGAGCAGAGGGGGGACCCAGAGCCCCGAGGGGTGGGCACTCCTGAGATTCTGAAGGGCCAGCAAAGGCTTGGGGCCTGGCCAGTTGAGCATCTACATGACCAGGCCCTTGACCATCCTGGAAGTCATCCGGTGGGCAGGCGTTGGCATTGACCCCCTGCTGGGGGCCGTAGTCATCTTGGCTGGCCACAGACTCAGAAGGACCGAAGTCAAATTGGAGTACACCATCAATCTGGGGTGCCAGCTCCTCCTCAGCCTCCTCCTCCTCCTTCTCCTCCTCGGCCAGGCGCAGCTTCTCTAACAGCTGGGAGGAAAATGGGGGACAGTGACATGCTCTGCATACATGTGTGAGAGGAGGGGGAGTGTGGGTGATGGACAATGGTGTCAGGGAAGGAGTGAAAAGGGGGACACCGTGATTCAAATCCCAAACAGACATGTGGCTCTCCTCTGTATCCCTCTGCCATATCCCCAGCTTTGTGTCCTTCTCTCTCTTTCTGCCTCTCCTCCCCCTATTCTCTCCTTCCCATCATCCTTTTCTCTCTACAATTCTCTCTTCCTTGTCCTCTTGCACTTCACCTACCAAAGAGCTGGCTCATAGATATGCCACGCCTACAGGCAGCACTGGGGTGGCAAAGTCAGGTGCGCCCCCTTTTCTGAGCTGCTTTTTGCCCTGATTTACCTGGAGTCCCTCCTTCCACGACTCACATAGGGACCCTTCCTCCTCTAACTCTCAGGCATTTGTCCCTCCCTCCCATGGCTCACCTGAAGCCCCCCTCCCTTCCCTGGCTCACCCAGACAAGAGCAAGTGCTTCCTCCAGCTCCAACAACTCCTTAGTTAGAGCCAGGAGATCCAAATGTGAATCTGCAGAAAGTAATTGGGACACGAAGCGGGATTGAAGGATCTCATCCACCTGGAACAGAAGGAAGAAGGTATAAGCAGGAGATGGAGGAAAAGTAGAAAAGCAAAAACCCACCCTCTCCTCTTGCACAAGGTGAGTGTTTTACTATTCATGGCCATCAGCTCCAAATTCACACACACACACACACACACACACACACACACAGAGGAACATATGCACATACAAAAACAAGGGCGCACCCATACATACACACACTGAAAGCACACACCACACACACAACATACACACATGCACACAGAGACACACCCACACACTCATCACCCAGGCATGCACCCAGCTCAGGAACGAAGAACAGAGCTTAATCCAATTTGGAGTGCCACACTCTAGAATCTTGAGGACCTCGGAGCTCAGAGCCAACCCACCTTGTTGAGCAAGTCTTCCTGGGAGAACAGTGTCTCAACATAGCTCAGTGTATCTGGGTCCAGGTGGATCCCAATCTCTCCCTGCTGTTGCTCCATTCTGCCCTCTTCCCTTTCTCCACTTGGCTCTCCCATGGCCGGTTGGGCCAGCCCCACCAGCCCATCCTTGACATCCATGTTTTCTTTCACGGCCTCAGGGGGGATAGCCTCGGGTGCCTGGTTCTCCTGGAGCAGCAGGGGTCTTCGAGCCCTCCGGACTCTGGGTAAAGGCTTCCAGATAATGCACACTGTTGCAGAGGAAAGAGGAGGGAGTGTGAGAAACTCCAGCTTCCACCCCCTGAGAATGTGATACTGAGGGCAGTATTGGGGGGTCAGTAACATTGGTGCAACTCGGTCAGAACCTCTGAAGCCATGTTACCATGGGAGGGGAGAGGTCCAAGGGAAGCATCCAAAAGAGTCAAATGTGAGGATGTGTAGAGCCCCCGATTCCCCAAGCCCCTGCCCCCACTACCCTGTTCAGTCGCTTCTTAGGCACACATCATAAGCCCCTAATTACTCAGGACTGGTGTCCTAAAACGTTTATTAATGATACAGAACATCTTCCTGCTTCTGTGCTACGCCCCTTGCCCCCTTTAAAAAGGAATCTGCCTTGACAGATGTTCCAAGAGAAAAGCAACCATGCTCCACGTTTGTTCTCAGTCTATGAAGGAGGGATGTGGACTACGAGCAAACCCCTCATCTCAAAGATAAAAGGCAGGGAGCCTGGTCTGTGGTGCTCAGTGGTTGAGAACCAACCTAGGAACCAAGAGGTCATGGTTGGACTCCCAGTGTTGGTGGGAGGTACCAGGTTGCCCTGCCCCTGTGGAGCCCAGGACAGCAAGCAGCTCCCTGAGCTCAGAAGTGAGCTCTGGGCTGGAAGCAGCAGAGGAACCTGGGCTGCAGCAGTTGGAGTACCTTCCAGCCCAGCCCTCGGGGCAGACATTTCATTGTGAACTTTACCACAGACAACGCTGGACAACTGTCTGGCTGGAACTACCTCTCCGGACTGCGCCAGTAGCTCCGGTATTCTAAACTGAAATCCCTTAGCTATTGTGAGCGAACTCCAGGTACCTTAAGAACAGGACACAGGACTAGCTTTCCTGTGACCCTCCCTGTGCCACCATCACGACATTACAGCCCACTACTCTCTATACATATGTGGAAGTGGCATGTCTGCCCTCTGGAAAGGTTCCTTGTGCCTGCTGCCTCCATACCCAGGCATTTTTTCTTGAGTCATCCTGACTCACCTCTGAGGACCCCTCCTGTTCAGTCACAGGTTTCCGCAGACTCCCAGTCTCTCCTGGTGAATGGTCCTTGATGAGGCCAGTTCTCTCTCCTTCCCCTACTTCAGTCCGAACTACGTTTCTCCAGTGGAAGTATCATGTTTTAATCCCAGGTGTTGAGGGACATTATGGTCGCTAATCAACCTCCAACTCCCATGCCAACCTATAGGCTTACCTTCATCTGAAGCCATTCCTGAAGGCTGAGAGAGGATGAGAGAGTTCAAGTGCAGGTCCAGGAGGTGATCTGCTCCAACAGACACTCAAGATCCAGTGAAGGAAGCGGCTGAATTTAAATGTCGGGACGTAGAATTCCAGACATTCTGCATTGGGGGAGGAGCTAAGGGTATGTTCCTGGATGGGGTTGGAAGGGGCGGGGGAAGACATTCCATGGAGGGCTATGGCCGGTAGGCAAGAACCAGCATCTTCTTTCAAATTTTAAGTGATAACACAATTGGTGTGCGCTTCTTTCGGCCATTTATACATTAGTTTTTCAGATTCATGGCAGAAATACTTTTCTTGATGTTCCCTTTATCTCAGTTCTTGATCCATCAGCCTAGTTTGGGTCCCTCAACCTACTTCTCAGCCGGCTCTTGGCTTACTTCAACACAGACTACACTTTCTGAACAAAATTAAAACCTAAAGAAGTTGGGGCTACATGGAACCCAGTGTTTGAAATTCAAGTTGACTCAGCAGATCCAGCCTGTTGGGGTGCTGTGTGCCCATCATTTTGGGGGGAGCAGTCCTGTGGCCCCAAGTGCCACCCCGTGCTCTGCAGAATGTAGCTGATCCAGTTTTACAAATGATCCCCTTTACACCAATCCATTAGGAGAAGACCCCATAGCCTACATGGCCAAGACCAGAAATCACTACTCTTTTTTTTTCTCTCTCAGAATATTCCATTGTTCAATGCTTACTTTTTAACCTTTCCAATGATTTTAATGTAATATATCAGACAAGCAATACCTTACATAGTTTTCAGTATAATTGCACAAACTGGAAAGTACGGTGACGCATCTTGCTCCTGCCTCTTTGCCTAGCAGCATAGTCTTCTTACTCATAGAATGCCATTGTTATCTGTTTCCTTTAAATGTTTTCAGAGATGTATTATGCAACGAAAAGCAAATGCAAACTATTTTTTTAAAAGTGCTCTCGGCTTTTTTTCCCTCTGGTTAAAAGTAATATACCTGTATGTCTAGATATATTTATTTTACATGAAATTTTACTTAGTGTATACCATAATGATTGCCTCTGTACTGGTAACGTGACTCTGCTTTACTTCTGGAGGCTAGATTATTACAACATGAAATTCTATGGTTCCTTAAAATGCAAAGTACGATGTGAATGATGTTAATGAAAGAATAGGTGGCCCAATCTGGTAAATAATAGACACCCAATGGAATTTGGATTTCAGATACACAAACGGATTGGTTTTTAGGGTAATTAGGTCCACACTGTACTTGCAACATAGCTTTACTTGTATCTTTGTTTGCTGTTTTCTAAAATTCACATTTCACTGGCATCTTCTGTTTTATCTGCCAACAAGTAACTTATTAGACTCCTATTAGCTGCTCCCCCTATAAGAAGGAGAACTTTAAGTAAAAAGACTCCACTGTGCATCTTGGCTCCACCACTAAACAAAACTGCACACACTCGTGACATGTGCACTTTGTTCTTTAGTAGACATGGAATTTGTGAGAGCCATCGTCATATGGCACTGAAGGTCTTGGCTCTGTGGGGAAAAGATAGACGTAAGGGCAAGGAAGGCGGAAAATCTCATGATTCCACGTACTTAGCATTGCAAGGTCCTGATTTGTTCCAAGTTGTTAAAATTCCACTGCCCATGAGAGGAGACCCACATGCACTCTGAGCCAAAGCGAGGTCTCTAGCCACCATGCCCAACCCTCTTTCTCAGAAACCTGCGTCCACCTACAGCCCAGCTTGCCCGTCGGAGCCTGGAAGCCCTGCTCAGAGGCTTCCAAGTTTCCTGCCTCTGACGCACACCCTTGCTCTTTGAAAGATCGGCTCATCGTTGCCCTTGGTTCTATCTGCGTCTGAATCACAGCAGCTGGCGGCCCTTAACAAACTTGTCTGATACTTATTTTCATATTGTGCATAAATGTCTGGTAATATCCATCAAAATGATATGAAAGAGCAATTGTGTTTTGTGCTGTGAGAGGAGAGGTTTGTTAGGAAAGTGGTCCAGGGAGATGAGGGGTGAGGACTCCAGAGAATTGCAACCCAATCCGTGGGGAGACAAGCTTCACTCCCTGCTGTGGCAGCAGACTGCCTATGGTTGGTAAGTTAAAGGACTGGGAACATTCACTGAAAAAGACTCCCATATAATACAAATCCTGCACATGATAGGGAAAAAAAAGGGAGGAGAGGGTGAAATTCTTCCCATACTACCTATTACCTGAACAGAAATTAGTCCAGCCAAGTCTTGATTCATGTTATAACAGCAACCTTACAACAGAAACATCTGCAAATCAACATTTATTGAAAAACATGCATGTACTAAAGAAATAAAAGCAAAAAATATTCTAATACAGTAAATGTGTTTGAAAAAACTTGGGGGATGGAGTCAGGGGAAAGTATCTCGTGTTCCCCAGGCCTATATGAATGAAACATTCAGACTTGCTAGGAGAAAGGACTGCTTTGAGAAACCACGGAAATGCCCTGTGGAGGACACGAAGGCACTAGCCCCAATTTGAGGACATGTGCTCAGGTAGCCCTCTCCAAATCCCTTCCTCAGAGAGGACTGTATCCATAGCATGGAGGGCAGGGTTACGACTTTAAGATTCTAAGTGCTCATTGCACTGGCCCTGGTCTGAGCCAAGGACAGCCATGGAGGTTCCTGAGGAGGAGGCCTTGCTGGAGAAGCTTTGCAGGAAGCCCGACCTCCTCCAGGTTCTTTCCTCTCCTGTTCCACAGCCTTGTCTTGTTCTGGGGCAGAAGATGGGGGAGGGGCTCCACCCTGCAAGGACTCCCAGCATGGGTTGTTTCTGTTGTAAGGTTGGCTCTGGTGGGCATGAGCTAAAGGAGGGAGGGGCCCTGACTGTGTTCCTGGCCTGCATGAGGCTTGGCATAACTGCCTCTGCCTCTAGAGTGGATTATGTACACAAGGAAGTGAGGGATCCACGGATGTTTACCCTTCAGATGTCACCCCTCTTCACTGTTGTTCACACAGTGGGCTATTTGCGCACAAGGTCTGCGTTCGTTCCCCATAAACAATCACTTCCGGTGGTGTTGACTGACACCAGGGAACTGGCCACTGGCACTGGTTGCATGGGGGGGAGAGTTCAGTGATGGGCAGGCCTGCTGGGGGTGTCTAATAAGGCTTGTGAACTGCTGGATTCTGAGGGTCATGCTGTGTCTCTTGCACTCTGAATAATGCAGTAGCTGTGGTGCATGAGCCAATGGTAGCACAGAGGCCAGAGCCCTAAGTATAATTTTTAAAAATCTATGAATAAATGAAGAATGCCTCCAGCCTGAATACCAGGGTTTTTGGTAGTTCTTAGGAGTTGTGTGTGAGGGAGAACCAGGATGAAGTAATTGTGGAAGCTGTTCTCCAAGACATGCCCACCTTCACTTTGAATTTTTGGCCACGATGGTACCTCTATCTTAATGCTACTTCCACTACCTCCTCTCCCCCATCCCCAAAATCCCTATTTGTTTAAGACAAACTCAGGAATTATTTTCTCTCAGTAAAATAACTGTGCTGTACTGCTAACATTTTCCATTGTACCATGGACCTACTACTATTATTTTATAGAAATCTATTTATATAGCAATGGAACTACTTTTCTAAATTTCAGAAATGATGCTTTGGACAGAGTTGAAAGCAAATTCTAGCAAGGCTGTAGGTTATCATATCCTGTGTATTATAATTTCATTCAATGTATTTTTATGTAAATTATCTTGCTATATGATATGTATTATTTAATGGTTTCTTGTTGGAACTCAGTAAAGGAGAAATTTGGAATATGGATGAAATCAAGGAATAAAAGAAACTAAGTGCTATGATCTTAACGGTTGTTTGGCCCCAAACTTCATGTATTGAACCATAGTACCCGATGTGATGGCAATGGAGGTAGAGTCTTTGAAAAGTGCATAAGTCACGGGAGTGGAGCCTTCAGAAATGGGATTAGTGCCCTCTGTAAGCTTCAGAGAGATCCCTTGTCAAAAGAGGATACAAGAAGTCTGCCACCTGGAAACAGAGCCATCGGCCAGGCATGTAGGCAGCCTGATCTGAGACTTCCAGCCCTAGAAGAGTGAAAGCTAATTTTCTGCTGTCTATAGGCTACCCAGTCTATAGTATTTTGCTATAGCAGCCCCATTAGAACCAACCTAACATTTTCTATAAATCTATTGTGAGCCAAGAATTGTATATACATGAAGCTACTCTCTACTGTTATCAGGACTAACTGTAATTTTATTAGCAGTTTATGAATGTATACTAGTTGATGGGGAAAGAGATAATAAAGAGGAAATGATTTTAAGCAATGTATTCTTATTATAATAGCAACTTGAGAATTTTAATGTGCATTTGTCCATTTCCAGTGTTTGAGTTTTTTGTGACCAAATAATGCTTCCCCTTACTGATTTACATTGGTCAGTCTTCTCTGCTAGACTGTGTACCTAATGAAATCAGAAACTATATCATTCATCTTTATATCCCATGCAAGGAGACATGGCTTTCAACACAGGAGGTGCTGAATGAATTAGATTATGCATGCTGTCAATTCACATGAATTGACAGAACCCTAATTGACCCTTTGAATCTATCTGGCCTATCTTTTAAACTGTACCACCACCCAGTGGCAAAAATGACTTCTGCAATCTGCTCATTTTAAGTAAAAAGAAACATGTCTTAAAGCTAATTTTGCAAATTTAATGTCAATAGGGAAGACAAGTAACACAATCTGCTAAAGAATTTTACAAATAAGAATACCATATCATTCATAGGAAATGGGAAGATCTCCAGGGACTTTGAGAATAAATGCACGTGTTTACTCTTAGCCTCCCACTGAAGCTGAAAATAAAGAAATCTACAGACCATAAAGAGTATTAGTCTTTCTTTGAATGCTAGATGTCACATGAATTAATTTGTTCTTTCAAAAAATATCTAAATAGGCTTTATATTTGTTTTCATAGGAGAAAATAAAAAAATATTTTAGGGGTCTGAACTAAG